CTCCAATAAATATTTAAGTAAAATTAACAAGCTTTGTGCATAGGTCTTATCTACATCCGCCGGATTGTAGGATGAACAATTGTAATCAATTTTTGATGCGGTTTTGAAAGGAAATGATGATTCTGCCCACTAATGAATAGTTTGTGGGATGACAATTAGTCGCCTAACGGATGTTATTGTTAAAATTGAGAATATTCCAAGAAAATATGATATCATAACTACTGACGGGTATGAAGCGATGAGCTAGTTTATGAACAATGTAATACTTTCAGTTTGATTTGTTTTATTTTAAATATTTATCGCTAAAACCAGGCAGTTGAATATTTTTCAACGATATTTTGATGGACCATCGGGCTAATACAATTTCAAATGTGTGTTCCTGTAAGTCCAAAGAGTATTTTACAACAGAAAAATATAGATCGAACAAAACAATATATCGCTGATATGTGCTAAGAAGATGATGGGAATAAATGAATAGATAATTGAATAAATGTGTAATGTGAGGGGCCCATTTAAAGAAATTCAAACCAATGATATATGTAAAAGTCTAAAAAGATTTTGGTATTTTGTCAAAACTATATTATATGGGTAACGTTTTCTTTTAGCAGCTATACCAAAAAAATATTGAGAAAATTTCAAACTAATTGGTTTACATTTTGAAAAATCTTTCTTAACGACAGCTATTAGGTTTGACCCGCTATAGATTCGATTAAAAATATGTGAAACATTCAAAGACCTAAGCTTTAGCCGATGTAGGGCTAACCGCTCTATCAGACCTGTTGACCCGATTGCAACAGACCCGATCGAACGGGCCTGATTGAACGGGTCTGATTGAACGGGTCTGTTGCGAACGGGTCTGTTGCGAACGGGTCTGTTGCAATCAGGTCTGTTACAATCGGGTCTGTTTCAATCAGGTCTGTTGCAATCGGGTCTGTTACAATCGGGTCTGTTTCAATCAGGCCCGTTCGATCGGGTCTGTTGCAATCAGCAGATTCTGATGAGCGCGGTTGGCCACCGTCGGTACTGGAAGTGCTGAGCTGTTTCCCCTTGTACAATCGATCTATAACGGGCTCAGCTGTCGTTAAAATTTTCAGGCAATAACTGGTTATTTTCAGCCAAAACGACTTGCCAACAGAGTACTGCAATTAACGTCTTTGGGCCGTCGTGATTTCTTCTTCAAATGAGCCACCTGCGGCGACATTCGAAGTATCTGTACATTCAATTGTTGTTTTCGACTAACAGAAACAATTTGGACTTGGTACAACGATGATCATCAAATATCGTTGAAATTATCGGCGATATTGTTGAAGCTGGTCAACGAAAACCGTATTTTGATATCCAGTGACAACAAGCAATTAATAGCGTGGTCTGCTCGGCGCAACGCCATAATTGAAGCAAAAATAAAATAAATTATGTTTTTTTAACCGAGATTTAAAAGTTCTGCAAGCAACGCTCGGTATGGAAGCCATTATCGCCTGAACAATATTTGTAACCAGCATCCGTTAGGCGCTGTCATCCCACAATAAGTGATGTTGAAACATCAGCTGATATCATCGGCATCAGCAGATAATTGAGCTGAAAACTTTTAACGGCATGAACACAATTGGGCTGTTTAAAAGTGTCTCTCTTTAATTAATGATATTTTGTCGTTGACCACCGTATCGCTGCGCCGTTACCAGGCGTCGACTCTTCCTTCATGTGCAAAACTGAAATATGCGTGCGCTGGCGTAACAATGGCAATGACTCTGCTGGTAAACGTCAATACGTTAAACGTTCAAGACGAAGTCAAACTGGTGATGCTGGTCAATATTCGTTTACTGAAGGACCTGTCGACAGGCAATTAAATATTTAAGCAAAACGAATGAACTATAAAAGGCCAATTGAATGATTGTTTGTTAATCTATTCAAAACAATTCGAGCATTAAATATCGCTGGGCGCAGGCTGCTGCAAAAATGATCCCAAAAGCCATGATGAGCCTCTGCAACGATAAGCTCTTCTTGCAGATCTCAAAGGGCGCGGGTAAGGCATTCAGCCATTTCTTAACAAACCATTTTATAATCGTCGCTAATAACAGGTTGGAACAGTAAATCTTTCACGGCGTTATTCTCATCAACTAAAATAGCTTGGAACATCCTTATGACCTGAATTGATATTTCGGTTCGAATAACGAGCAATATTACTCCTGTATGGTCAAATTTATCGCGTTGCTCCAGCGAGACTGGCATTTCTGATGAGCTGAAATCCATTTGGGCTATTGTAATAATGGTTAATTGGGCCCTGAAGTTCGCTTTCGCGAGCGCTGCCATTTCTGAATACAAAACAAAAAAATATCGTCACGCTTTGTTACGACGATTTCTGAAATATTTTGAACCGAACATTGACAGTTTCGATAAAAACGTTTGTTCGCCATTGTGATCCTGAATGCTGCATTTAAGCTGCTGGCTTTTGAAAATAAGTATATCGCTTATGAGCTCACGCTACAAATGACCGGGTACTCAGCGGAGACGCGACATAATGCAATTCTGCCTGGTCCCGTTGCTTCTTCGGCGACAACGTCTTTTAACGTAAGAAAGTCAACATTACCCGTCAGCGCATGTATCGGCTGGCTATTGCCCGGCAAATTTCTGGTTAGATTCGTGACATCAGCGCAGCAATATCGGTCAGGCAAGTCAGACTACGATTTCGAACGTCAGCCTATGACCAGATGACAGAATAGCTAAGTAATGATATCAATATCTTTATCTTCGCTGAACTGAGTGATCCCAGTGATTGTCAGAGCTGTATATTGAGTATTCTTTACTGACGACAGTTAAAGCTTTATTGTTTTGGTCAACTCACACTCCCGAACCTGACAATGTGCCAACAATCTGATATTAGGCGAACTTGAATATGTTGCTTCGTGAAATTCGAGGCAGGTCTGATGCTCAACGCTGACCTTTGTGGCTGGCTTATTGTCAGCACGAGTGGGCTGTCTTGGCACAGAAAATTTAAATATTCAGAAATAAATAGTCAAATGAGACTAACAGAAACGTATTTCATCCGAAACCATATTCTACGATCTGTTTATGACAAAATCTAAAATTATTAACCGACCGACAAAGCTATGACCGTTCACTATGGTACAACAGCGTTGAAAAAACTAAATGTATAACTAATAAAATAATATAATAAAAAAATAATGTTTTAATTGTTTGAATTTTTTTTTTTTTTTTTTTTTTTTTTTAAAACTTTAATTTTTTTTGTTTACTTTCTTTATCGATAATAAACAATCAAACTAACAAAACCATAACTTGTGACAGGATGAGTAAAATGTTTCAAAGTATTATATTGTCAGGAAAACAAATATATAATAAATCACATACTCACCAAATAATCCCTGAAGCATTGAACCTGAGCGGAGGCGTACTTTAACACCTGTCACAATTAAAAGTAAGGATAAGTGTCCAGTTCATAATTCCGACCTACTTAACTGCTATATGCCGATATTGTCTTGCCCTAACTGTCTATTATTTATTTTTCTGTTGTCTCACTAGATGGACTGGTATCTCAATATACTCTCAATACAAGATTTACAAACATATCTATGCAAATGCACTACTTGGCCTTCCGCCCACGCACCCCCTGATAGCGCGGACTCCAGAGTAATCAGCCGCACGGGCAACAGAATAAACACAACATATCGATCCCGAGATTCGAGGACCCTGGGGCCTGTTCCCGCCGCTGAGGACCCGGAGGTACCGTCCCAGATATAATAATAATGTCCGTTGTCACACGGCGTACGGAATCCCAGATCCCTGCCGTGTGCGACGTTGCGACATTACGAGGATTCGCGTCCCTGCTACAATGACATTACGGGATCCCATATCCTGCCAAGCAACATTAACAGGCCTATCCTTGCGCTTCCTCAAGCTAAGCAGTACTAACTCTACTGAGAACAGAGATTCACTAATCCACCTAAAATTTACGTGGCTATCATATTAACTAATTAGGTACTTTTATAAAAAGAACTATCAATCTCTCTCTCTCTCTTGATTACAAATTTACTTATCTCATCAAATACTAACGTACTGTCTTGCCCCCGTCAACGCCCCCCCGTGGCACGGTTTAGACGAACCAGAAGACCCGGATACGGCGGCTGAATCTCTCGGGGCCCCGCTCCCGCATCTGGTTACGCCCAGAGGCACAACAAAAACCGGTGATAACCAGGATTTTTCTCCCTACACCGTTGCGACATTACGAGGAATCGCGTTCCTGCTACTATGACATTACGGTATCCCAGATCCTGCCAAGCAACATTATCGGGCCTATCCTTGCGCTCCTACTGACTAGACAGCACCGATTCTACAGAGTAAAGAGATTTAATAGCCTATCTAAACAAGCTCACGTAGCTGCCGGATCGGTATACCGCCGCACTACTTAATATCTAACCCTATCTAACTTTCATATTCTATATTTTGACCTAGCATGTATACGGCGCAGTTATTTAATGTATTTAATATTATGTGATGTGATTTAAAATGAAAAACAACTAAAAATATAAATATATTTATCAATATTCATGATCTATTGAGTAATAAACTACGACACTTAATGAGATGTACTCACCCTGCTTTCTGCTTATATCACCTTGCTCACTAACTTTACTTTGGCAACACACCTTCATACCGCACTCAAAAATATACTGTGCGATCGGAGACCAATATTATTTCTACGATAGGTAACATTCTCAGACTTTTTTTCGAAACAGAATTGTTTCGACCAATCATCGTTCGATTTTGAACGCTTTTCTAGGAATACTTTTACCCCTAAATCGGGGCGCAGGACGCCCATAAAATCAGATATGGCGTGACATGCTTGAGACGCAGAAATACTTAACAGGCACAAACTCTTAATATGTGTCGTTTAAAAACCTATGTTAAAAGAAATATTATTGAAATAAACTTTCACGTTATATTCGGTCATCCTGCAACGGACTCGCCCCGAGTCTTCCGCAGGACACTCAGCAATCGTCGCTGCTATCGCTGACGTCGTCAACCCGTAAGCCATCTGAGCCGCTACCTGCGTCGGTATCGTCTGCTACGCCGCCTGGTTGCTGCCATGGCTTAATGTGATCCACAGCGACTACATTCTCATATGTCCGTTTATTACGTGTGCGGTGCGAATTTGACATGTCTGAAACACGTATCGTGCAATTGGGCAATACTCTTAATGACCATTGATTCACTATACGGTAATTCATTTTGCGCGACCTAACAAAGAAGTCTTGTTTTTGTATCACAACTAAGTCACCTTCGTTATAGTTTTTCGGCTTTTTTACGCGTCTTATCGTACCTTAACTTTTGCTTACTAGCTTCTGTCTCTATTCTGTTGCCGATTTTCTCTCGAATAGTCACTATATTTTCTAACACTCTCGGTAATTGTCTGACTTCGTCTATTAACTCAGAGTCTATTCCGCTCCTAGGACGAAACCCATGTAATAGTTCACTTGCAGTTGGTCCCGTAACTTTACTTTTTATATTGTTCATCGCAAACTGAATTTTAGGTAAATATTCGTCCCATTTATCTTCCTCACAACAACTAGTTAATAACGCAGATTTAAGAGTTCGATTAAACCGCTCTACTTGGCCATTAGCCCTAGGTGTACATACCGCATTAAGAATGTGTTTTAACTGTAACTATTTACAATAGTGAACAAACTTTTTCGATGTGAACGCACTTCCTCTATCAGAAATCAACACTCGAGGTTTTCCGTATATCGTGAAAATTTCCTCTAAAAATCGTATCACATACTTTGTATTGGTAGACCGCACTGCCTTTAGAAAAGTAAACTAAGTAAAGGATTCTACGGCTACAATTATATGCACATTACCTTTTCTAGTCTTAGGTAGAGGTCCATAATGATCTATATGTAATGTGTCAAAAGGCTCAGACTTTTTAGGTATAGGATTAAGAAACCCCTCTTTCTTTCCACTGGGCTTTTTGCCATAAATGCATGGTAAACAACAACTTATGTATTTTTCAACATATTGTCTCATACGTGGAAACCAGTAGTGTTCACACAATCTAAGTAGTGTCTTTTCCGCAGCAAAATGCCCTAGATCATCATGTGCTGCTCTTACTACCTGTTGTCGCATTCCTTTTGGAACAACCCACTGTAACTAACTTTTAGTTATTCTAACATACATCTCGTAATATTAATTTTATGAATTAATTTGTCCTCATCTGACTCGGGTGGCTTTTATAAAACTTCACGGATTTTCTGTATCTTTTCGTCCGTTAGTTGTGCTGATAACACCCAATCTACCTGCTCTATTCTCATTACAATCTCTTCAGCAGGTTTCTCAGATATAGATGGATTTCTACTGAGTGCGTCTACGTGTTTCATTCGATCGCCGGGTCTATACTGAACTGTAAATGTATACTCTTAGAGTTGTAACCACCATCGCGCAATTCGCGGTATTAATTGCTTCTTATTGCTACTGGCTTTCAATGCATTGCAATCAGTGACTACCACAAAATCACGGCCCACTAAATATGCTCTATATTTTTTAAGAGTCTCTACTACAGCTAGCGTTTCTAATTCATAACAGTGATATTTTGCCTCTGTCGGGCTTGTCTTTCTACTAAAGTATGCTACTGGGTGTAATTTGTCGTCATTTTGTCTTTGCAGCAGTATACCTCCAAGCCCTATAGAGCTCGCATCTGTATGTACCTCGGTATATGTATAACGATTAAAAAGAAATATGTAATATAAGGGCGCTCTACGAGCATTCTCTTTAACCTTTTAAATGCGTTATTCTCTTTTTCACCCCAAACCCACTCTTTATTCTTTTCTTAGCTCTGTGGCGGTTTCGCAATAATAGGAGCAATTTTAACAAAGTCTAAAATATGTCAGTTAAACCTAAAAATTGGCGAATGTTATGCACACTTTTGGGAGTAGGAAATTCTTCGACTGCTCCCGTTTTAGCCTTCCCGGGTTTTACTGTACTGTTACTTATTCAAAACCTAAATATTACGGATGTCATTAAAATTTGCATTTCGGGATTAAGAAGTCAGCCCTTCTCTCTCTAGTAAGTAAAGCTTGTTCTAATTATTTAGAGCTTGCTCACATGTTTTAGAATATATTAAATGTCATTATAGATAGATCTGTATATATCTCGTGCTGAATGTAGAATTTTATTCATTAAGCGCTGAAAAGCACTAGGTGCGTTTGTTAAGCCAAAGGGAAGTCTGTTATATTCATATTGAGATTCGGATGTTACGAAAGCAGTGTATTTCCTAGAATTTTCCTTTATAGGTATCTGATGATAACCTGATCTTAAATCTAATGTGGTATAATAAACACTACCTTGTAATTTATCAAGTTGATCATCAATTCTAGGTAGTGGGTACCTATCTTTTACAGTTAAGTGGTTTAATTTCCTATAATCTATGCACATTCGGTTTTCACCATTCTTTTCTTTACTAACACTGGCGATGAATAGGGTGAGCTCGATTCACGAATGATATTATTTTTAAGTAAATCAGCAACGATTACACTTACTTCCTGTTGTTCGCTTTTAGACATGTGGTATGGTCTATAAACGAATGGGGTATCTTGTTGTAATTCAATAGATATTTCCGCAGATCTTGCACGCCCTAGTTCGTCAGTGGTCTTAGCAAAACACCCTCTATGTCTATTTAATAATTCTAGTAATCTATTTTTATTCTGATTTTGACCGTGACCTATAGTGATGTCATCATAGGTCAACGGTGACAGATTCATAATATCTACACGCTGTACTGTATCTTTAGTATCATTTACCTTTTATGCACAGCCAGCCTCTGGCAATAGGTCTTTTGCTTGTCTCTACATACGAGTTCGACAGAAAACAACAGGAACAACCGTGGATTGATCACTACTAAATCTTAGTATAGTATGCGGTATACAATATTCTTGCCCTTCGTTCATACGGATACTAGCCTCTATGTATAGATCTCCGACAAAATCAGTGCTAACAGGAATATGCGCCCAAATCCCTGGTGGAATTTCGATGTTAGATTTGCGCCATATTTTAATTTTCTGTGAACTTTCGCCGAACTGTTCAATATCAGGTAATTTGAAAATAATTTTAAAGTTTCGGCATTTTTAAAAAATAGTATTTTTTATAACATAAAAACCAAAGATGGGTGCATTTAATTTTATATTATCTATAAAAAAAGCATAGTTCGATTATTTGATTACATCTTTATAGTATTTTTTTGCCTGATATTTACGTGTTTTTGGGTCAGTACCTGCTTAAAGCCCTTTTTCCTAACACAGAAACTAGTCGCCAGATGTTTTACGCCCTCGATTATTATCGGTCTTTGTTTGGATGATCACGTCTTAAGTGACCGTACTTTTTACCATTATACAGTAGCTTTTGGTTTACCTTTTGGTCTATTAAATTTATTGAATATTAAATTTATTATCTTTTTTGTGTCAAGCTTTGATCGCATACTCGAATGTTTTATATAACTTTCATCTACCTCTTTCGTTTTATAACAACAATAACAAAAAAAAAAAAAAAAAAAAATTTTTTTTGAAGTTTTAGATTTGTTAACATGAGTCTGAATGAGTCTGAATCTTGAATCTGAATTAGTTTGGATCCCACTTCTGAAATTTAACTGTGAATTTTTTTTTGTTTACTTTTCTTTTTATAAAATAATAATCTAACAATATAAAATATAACTCGTGACAAGATAATTAAAAATGTTTCAAAAGTATGATATATTGTCAGGAAAACAAATATATAATAAATCACGGACTCACCAAATAATCCCTGAAGCATTGACCTTGAGCGGAGGCGTACTTTAATACCTGTCACAATTAAAAGTAAGGGTAAGTGTCCAGTTCATAATTCCGACCTACTTAACTGATATGTGCCGATATCGTTTTGCCCTAACTATCTATTATTTATTTTCTATTTATCTCACTAGATGGACTAATTTATCTCTGTCTCTCTCAATACAAGATTTACAAACATATCTATGGAAATGCACTGCTTGGCCTTCCGGACACGCACCCCCTGATGGCGCGGACTCCAGAGTAATCAGCCGTACGGGCAACAGAATAAACACAACATGTCGATCCCGAGATTCGAGGACCATGGGGGCCTGTTCCCGCTCCTGAAGACCCGGAGGTACCGTCCCAGACATAATAATAATGTCCGTTGTCACACGGCGTACGGAATCCCAGATCACTGCCGTGTGCGACGTTGCGACATTACGAGGATTCGCGTCCCTGCTACTATGACATTACGGGATCCCAGATCCTGCCAAGCAACATTAACGGGCCTATCCTTGCGCTTCCTCAAGCTAAGCAGTACTAACTCTACTGAGAACAGAGATTCACTAATCCACCTAAAGCTTACGTGGCTATCATATTAACTAATTAGGTACTTTTTAAAAGAACTATCAATCTCTCTCTCTCTTGATTACAAATATACTTGTCTCGTAAAATTAACGTACTGTCTTGCCCCCGTCCACGCCCCCCCCCTCCCCGTGGCACGGTCTAGATGAACCAGAAGACCCGGATAGAGCGGCTGAATCTCTCGGTGTCCCGCTCCCGCATCTGGTTACGCCCAGAGGCACAATATAAAAACCGGTGATAACCAGGATTTTTCTCCCTACACCGTTGCGACATTACGAGGAATCGCGTCCCTGCTGCTATGACATTACGGGATCCCAGATCCTGCCAAGCACCATTGACGGGCCTTGCACTCCTCCTGACTAGACAGCACCGACTCTACAGAGTAAAGAGATTCATCATATCTAAACAAAGCTCACGTAGCTGCCGCATCGGTATACCGCCGCATTACTTAATTACTAACCCTATCTAACTTTCATATTCTATATTTTGACCTAGCATGTTATTTAATGTAATATTTAATAATATGTGTACGCAAATTATATCTAACAAAACGTATCAATATATTTATCAAAATATTCATGATCTAATTAATTAAAAGCTACATTATGGTGAGATATTACTCTTGCTTTCTGCTTATATCATATGCACTAACTTTCACTGAGTAACTGCTGGCAGCACACTATTCACGCCACCGCACTCAAAACTATACTGTGCGTCGGAATATGTGTATTTTTCTGCATTAGGTAACATTCTCAAACTTTCTTTTTCGAAACAGAATTGTTTCGACCAATCATCGTTCGATTTTGAACGTTTTTCTAGGAATACTTTTACCCATAAATCGGAGCGCAGGACGCCCATAAATCAGATATGGCGTGACATGCTTGAGACGCAGAAATACTTAGCAGGCACAAACTCTTAAAATGTGTCGTTTTAAAACCTATGTTAAAAGAAATATTATTGGGAAAATAAACTCACGTTATATAACAATGTGGGAAGGTCGATACGGAGCAGAATCGTTAATTTCAAGACCTGAATTTAAAAGCAGCACCATAATTAATGAAAACCTTATAATAATTGAATTATCTAAATCTGAAATATATTTTAATAAACCAATTTATGTAGAGAATGTATTTTAGTTGCGAAAACCTAATTGCCGACATATGAAAAAAGCTTTTTCCGGTGGCCTTGTTCTGTATACTGATACCGATTCGCTGATTTATGAAATTAAAAATCAAGACGTCTATGATGTAATGAAACGAGATTGTTCGCTGTACTTTGACACCAGCGACTACTCTCCAGATAATATTTATAGTATTCCTCTAGTAAATAAAATTTCAGAGGCATGATGAAGGATGAAAATAGCGGACGTATTATGACTCATTTTGTTGGCCTTCGATCAAAAATATTATGCAACAAAATTATCTACAACAGGAGCTAGAACAGAAAGAAATCGCATTTGAAAAAAAGGGGGAAGAACAACAAGAATTGAAAATTATCTGAAAAACATTGGTTTAACAAAAAAGATTAAGGGGGTTAAAAAATCTGTTATTAAAAATTGTGGCCACATTTGATGATTACGTTGACTGTTTGAAGAGTTGTAATGAAAAAATAATTTTGCAAACGTTAATTCGATCTAGTAAGCATAATATTTACACCATAAAGCAGTCGAAAATTGGGTTAAGTCCCCATGACGATAAGACATCTAATTAAGGGGTCAGTTCAGACTTTGCCTCATGGACATTG